TTTACACATGTGGGTCTGATTTATTTCACTTATGAATATGGTCTCTAGTTGTACCCATTTACCTATAAAAGCCTCAAGTTTATCTTTTTTATAGCTGAATAATACTCTATTGTATAAAAATACTTTTTTTTATCCATTCCTCAGTTGATGAGCATGTGGGTTGTTTCCAAGATTTAGCTATGACAAATTGTGCTGTTATAAACATGGGTGCACATATATTGCTGTGGTATAATGTTTTTAATTCTTCTGGGAAAATACCCAGAAGGGGAATAGCTGGGTTAATTGGGACTTCTACTCCTAGTTTTGTGAGGAATCACCACTCTGATTTCCACAGTGGTTTCACCAGTCAACACTCACCAGCAGTGGAGAAGGGTTCCTTTTTCCCCACAGCCTTTCCAGCATTTGTTATTGGTTGATTTCTTAATGATAACCATTCTTTCTGAGATGAGATAGAATCTCAGTGTTTTTTTGTTTCATTTGTTTTTGTCTTTTTGAGACAGGATCTCGCTATGCAGTTCAGGCTAGCCTTGAGCTCACTTTGTAGTTGAGGCTGATCTTGAACTCGCAGTGATCCTCCTGCCTTAACCTCCCAGGTGCTGAGATTCCAGGTGTCAGTGTTGTTTTAATTTGTATTTCTCAAATGAATAATGATGCACATTTTTTCATGTATTTATTTTCCATCAATATTTCTTCATCTGAGAAGTGTGTATTCATCTCAGATGCCCATGTTTTGATTGGGTCTTTGACTTTTGGGGGCCTGATTTTTAAAAATTCTTTATATGTTCTAGATGGAAGTCCTTTGTCTGAGGGGGAGTTGGCTAAACTTTTTTCCCAATTCGTGGGTTTTCTTTTTACTCTGTTGGTGATTTCTTTTGATGTCCAGAACTTTTCAATAAGATGAGATCCCAGTTGTTGATTCTTTGAAGTTTTCCAGTGCAGTTCGGTTTTTGTTCATGAGCTCTCTGCCTACCCCTATGTCTTCAAGATTTTTACCTACTTTCTCTTCCAATAGATTTAGTGTTTCTGTTTTAATATTTAGATATTTAATCCATTTTGACTTTAGTTTAATGCATGGTGATAGACATGGGTCTAGTTTTAGTTTTCAGCATGTGGAAAGCAAGTTTTTCCAGCACCATTTATTAAAGAGGCTGTCCTTCTTCCAGCGAACATGTTTGGCCACTTTGTCAAAAATAAGGTGGCTGGGTGTGTTTGTAGTTGTTTCTGCATCTTTTAATCTATTCCACTGATCTTCAGGTCTGTTTTTTTGCCAGTTCCATGCTGATTTTATCACAGTAGCTTTGTAGTATAATTTCAAGTCAGGGATTGTGATGCCTCCTGCCTTTCCTTTGTTGCCCAGGATTGCTTTTGCTATTCTAGGCCTCTTCTGGTTCCAGATGAATTTTAGGAATGTTTTATCTAGATCTGTGAGGTATTACTAATAGTATTTTAATTAGGATTGCATTGCATCTGTACAACAATTTTGGGATTATGACCATTTTCACCATGTTGATTCTTCCTATCCATGAGCAAGGAATATCTTTCCATTTTCTGAAATC